CTGAGTAAGGAAGCTGCTCTGGAAAGGGGCAAAGAGCCAGACCCTCTCAGGGATCCTCCTGTCCTCAGGAAAGCCTCTAGGGCTGTGCTGAGAGGTGTCCTCCCTCTGGCGTGGCCGAGGGGGAGCGGCAAGAAGAGACAGGCAAGAGCCGGGCGTGGGGTGGCGCGGAGCTGTGGGCGACAGCACGGCTGAGTGAGCTCAGCTCCTGTTTGAGATCTCTGAGGAAGTTCACCTTGCTCCTGCCGTGTTTGTCTGGAGAAGCCTTAGCTGCTCTCTGTTGCTTCCTTCTGGTACCCTCTCTGAGGAGCTCCTGACAGGGGAGTTGGGGCATTGTTCCAGGGAAGGTCAAGGGCGCGTGACAGGTTCTGAGAGCCTTTGGAGTGTGTAGGAAGCCCCTGGGGAGGTGGGTGTGCGGGGGGGATTTGGGAGCGGTTGCCTTTGGGAGAGCGCCCTGCTCCTTTCCTGCCCACCTCTAGGGCAGGTGTGTCGTGTGTCGGGCTTCCGCTTCTTGGGCGTGGGGTGAAGGGCGGCAGGCAGGCGAAAGGATGACGTCAGCCTCCTCCTCCGCACCTGGGCCCAGCCTGACTGAAGCAAAATGTTTTCTGGGGCGTCTCCAGAGCTGGTCCGCGCAGAGGGCTGTCCAGGGGGTGCCCCTCTCCCTCTCCTGCCTTCTCAGCCCGCAGGCCAAGGAGGGAGGGCCAGAGGGGATGTTGCTGAGTCCTGGGGGTTCCCCAGGACCAGAAAAGGAGAGGTTCTCCAGAAGGTTCCCGGTGAGTGCCTCGCTGTAGGACCATCATTTCTGAAGTTGGCGGGGCAGGGTGGGGGGGGGGTGGGGGTTGGCAAGGTGATGTCACTTTTGCCTCAGTGACCAGAGGCCTGAGGACAGAACATGGGGGCTAATTGTGGGTTTTGTCATTTTTTTCTGTTGGAGGCAGGGGTTGTGGGTTCGGTTGGGGGCCTGGTGCTGAAGCCTGGTGAGGAGGAGGAGGTGTGGGACTTGACCCCCGTTCAGCTGTGCTGGGAGTCCTAGAGGCCTGCTGCAGCCTGCCTCTCTGCCTGGGGAAGGTCCTCAACAGGCGGAGTTGATAACCTGGAGAGGTGTGGGTGGAGGAAGGGTGCGGATTGTTAAATTTAGAGAACGTTAAAAAAAAAAAAAAAGAAAAATGAATCTCCATTCCTCTCGTGCCTCTGCCTCCCCCCTCCCCAAAATGTATGTCTGAGCCGCTTCTTGGGTCCGTCAAAAAGAAAGGCTTAGGGGACCGTCACAGGTGTGGGACTGGAGAGACAGAGTTTTCCAGAAGACTGATTCATTGACTGACTCATGTTGAGGGATGGAACAGGTCACGGCTGGGGGACACTTAGGGGAACTGGAGACTGGATGTGGTAGGGGGCGGTGGGTGTGGGCATCTGGCTTGGGGGTTTGGCTGCTCTCTGTCACCTCCTTCTCTGGGCTCCCACTTCCCCAGCAGACTGTGTCTTCCAGATGAGTTTGAAGACCTGGGTCTAATCTTGGCTTTGAGGTCACTCTTAACAGTTTGGGGCGATACTCAGGGAAGAGGAAGGAAGGAGAGGTTGCCTCTGCCCAGGGGCATGTGGGCAGTCCTTCTGCCGTCTCTTTGGGAGTCCGAACCACACACAGTATTGGTTGGGATCAGGCTTTTAGGACCAGAGCGTACTCAGAGTCTACTAACAGCCCCCCTGTACTCTGCCTGGTTTGCTCTCACGGCCCCACATGCTTGTCATCCTCCCTTTTTGGGTCTTTAAGTTGTTTTCCAGCAAGCTTCCTGTCCTGGACAGCCTTGTGATCCTGGGGCTCCTGGTCCCTGCGGAGCTTGTCTCATGCGAGGAATTATAGTCCGATCCTGGTGACCTCAAGCTTTTCCGCTTCTCCGTGACCTGCTCTCCTTTGACTTGGAATCTGTATTTTACCACATTGTTCCAACTGGAGGGTACGGGCCAGAGGCCACATAGTAGTGGGTCTAGAAATAGCCGGAAGGAATCTTTAACTTTCATTCCTTTACCTCCGTGGCCTTTGTTAGGATAAATGAAGTATGGCGGTAAAACAAGTCTTTATAAGCCCCCCCACCCACGGTTTATGGTGAAGCAAAGCCAATGCATTCAGGTCTGTGACTAATTGTGGCCCTGGCTTGTGTAAAATCCATTAGGGAGGCAGCAGCTGGGGCAGGGGGGCTTAAACACTGGAGTCTGTGTGCCTGAATTCAAATCCAGGAGCTACCACATGCTACCTTGTGGCCTCAAGTTTCTGTGTCTGTAAAATGGGGGTAGTAATGGTGCTGACCTTGTAGAGTTGTTAGGAGATGGAAGTGACTTGTTTCTGTAGCACTTAGAACGCTTCAGCTCTTGGTTGGTATGCTTTGTCTCAGCCCCAGGGGGACTCCTGGGCATGGGCATGACTTTGAGAATGGGAGCTTGGTTTGCAGGCAGATGACTACCTTCAACCAGAGGAAATTTCTCCAAGGAGAAGAGATGCTTTCGTTTCTGTGTTTACAGGGCAATGGGGTCTCTAAAGAGTGACCCTCAGAAGGCACCCCTTAGAGATTAATCTCCCTGAGAGAGTGTGTTGTGGGGGGAGGGGGGCTGTGGCTAATCTACTTTAAAACTGACCTGGCTGGCTGTGAAATCCATCAGGGACTTGGGCCTTTGCCATTTAGCATCCCCTTAGGGGCCGACTGACCCCAGGTTTGATCTGGGAAAGGTCTTAGGCCGTGAGTTTCTGCCCCATTATTCCAGCTGCTACTGACTGCGGGGAGTGGGGAAGGGGGGGGGGGGGTGGGTGCCTGCAGTGCAGCAGGCTTTGAAGGACACCAGAGTCCCACAGGACTGAGGGTTAAGGACTGGGGCGGAGTTTGGATCTGTGTCTTTCTTTGTGCTGAAATGACACAGCGTTGCCCTGCGGGCTGGTTCTGTAGAAAGGCCTAGTTGGTTAATTTTAAAGGCTCTTTTGAGGAGGGAGGAAAAAGGAGCAATGTTGCATTTCCCAAGGGGCTTTCCTCTGTGATGCTCAGAGTTTCACCAAGATGAGCTTGTTAATTAATCCTCCCTTGTTGTGCCTGGAAGGGAGGGAGAAGGCTGGAATGGCCTCAGCGCTGCCACTGTGTCCTTACCTGCACAATGAGAGTCTCCTTCCTATAGATTGCAGAGGAGGTGACACCCCTCCCCCTGCCCAAGCTGAGACCTTCTGTGGCAAAGTGCTGTGCTGGAGAGGGTCCTTGCTGGGCTCTTGATTTTCAGCTCAGGAGAAGCACTGGTTTGTTCATCATTTTCCATTTGCCAGATCACCTTTAAGGCCCCTGAGCTTAGGTCACTTACAGTCTAGAGGAGGGGATCTCACACTAGTCACAGTCACACGGGGGGGTGTAAGGGTAATCCTGGGGTGCTGTAGGAGTAGGTAGAAGGGGGCCTCCAGGTTTGTATTCTGGGGAGGTTTCTAGAAAGAGGGCTGGCTTCTAATCTGAAACCTGAGGATTGGGTATAAGTGACACAGGTTGGGGGGGTGGTATGGTGTGAGGTAGATGGAGAGGAAATAATGTCCAGGCAAACAGAACATTTGCAAAAGCAAGAGCTCAGGGCTACTTGTTCCAGGTTGGGGCAGAGGCACAGAAAAGCAGGGGGAAATTCAAGGTTACCGGAGTGAGGCCACCTTCTAGATCCTTCTCATAGCTGTGAAGAGCTCCAGGGTGTGGTCTAGTAATTTCTGAGCCCTAGAACTAGGGGTGAAGGCTTTGGGTCATTGGTAATGAGAGTGATGTTCTAGAACTTTGTTCCTGTGGAAACAGAAATACACGTTCTGGGAAGTGGTGCTGGCGAGCTGCAGTCTTCTGGGGTTGGAGTGGAATGTTCCTCTCCTTCCCAGAGGCCATAGCCCCTCCCAGACTTACTGCTCCAGGTTGGCCTACCTGTGAACAGTACCACCTGCTCAGGAATAAAGTCCACCCGGGGCTGTATTTGCCTTACCTGGGAGCAGTTTCCTGCTTGCTGGCCTTCCTGACTTAGCTGTGCTTAAAGGGAATTTAGGGAGACTCATCGGTGGCTCAGCCTTGGGGCATTTCCTGGGCGCTGGGAGCTGGGGTGAGTCAGGGCCTGTGCCAGGTGCTGGGGGTTGGGGAGCCTTTGTACTATCTCCTCTGCCTTCCCTGTCAGTATCCAGAAGGTTTCAGATTCATGGTGAAGTCGCTGGTGCCCCAGAGATGGAATCCCAAGGAGATTCTTACTCTCTGGCGTGTGTGTTGTCTTAGATTATAAGAGCAAGATCTTTACCTGCCCTTGCTGGTGACCCCAGCATAGGTCCGGACAAGTGGGCGCTTGGGAAGTGCTTTTTGACAATTGCTGCTATCATCACTGTTCTGATGAGTTATGGAGCCCGTGCTTCGTGCCAGGCACCGCGCTCAGACCTGTACGTGTAGCAGGTCCCTGCATCTTCGTGGACACAGCCCTTGGGTAGGTGCTGAGATGCTGAGGTTCTGAGAGGCTGGGAGCTTTGCCAGGGCAGTGGGGCCGGGCTTGGGATTCCATCCGAAGGCACCCTCACTGCTGCTATGGTGGAGATGTCCTCTCTGCTTTTCTGGGGATTGGGTTTCAGAGCCCTTTATTGTCCTTGGATGTGGTTTGCCCATCCTCACCCTGGGAAAGCTTGGAGCCAGGAAGGCATGTTACCTGGGCCTCCTTGTGCCTGTTGGCAGATTCTGAGGGAAAGGACCCCCTCCACATTCAGAGCTGTTGTTTTTAACATTGTGGTGAAATACACAGACATAACATTTCCATTGTAACCATTTTTAAGTGTGTGGTGTTTCAGTGGCATTAAGTACATTCCCAGTGTTGCTCATCTGTCACCACCATCATCCCCCGGACTTGATTACCTCGCAGAATGGAAACTCCGTACCCATTAAATACTAACTCCGCATTCCCTCCTCCCCCAGCAGCCACCCTTTTCCCTTCTGTTTCTGTGAAGATTCCAAGGTTCAATTCTTTGTCCTGCCCAGAATCTCTCCGGAGTGCCCTCTCCAGGCAGCGATGCCAGGATGCCTGTCTCTGCCTCTCTCCGCCAAGAGCGCAGCCAGGAGCGGCCGGTGAGCCTGACCTCCACCACCTCCTCGTCGGGTTCATCCCGTGACAGCCGCGGTGCCATGGAGGATCCCAATGGCTCCGAGGCTTCTGCTGAGAACGGGGCAGGCTCCCCGCGCGGCCGGCATCCCCCCAACGGCAACCCCAACTCCAGCGGCTGGCTGAGCGTGAGGGGGCCCCTGTCTCCGTTCAGCAGCCGGGCCCCGGCGGCCCCAGCACATAAGCTCAGCTACCTGGGCCGAGTGGTGCGGGAGATCGTGGAGACGGAGCGGATGTATGTGCAGGACCTGCGCAGCATCGTGGAGGTGAGGCCTGCCACCCAAGGGGCTGAGGTTGGGAGGGGGCCCAGCCTCTGGCTCCTGGTGGTCCAGCTCTGTTGTAAACCTGCTTCCACCCCTGGAAGGAAACTTCTCCCTGATAGTTGGTTTCAGAAGACCTGCTTCCCATGGAGTAGTGGGGAGGTCTCATGCGGCCTGCTCTGGGGGAGCCTCTGACCGCTCCCACTGCCTTACGACTTTGGGTCACATCAGTAGCCCGGGCCCACAGAACCTCCTGCAGGCCATTAGGGGGCAGGCACGGTTGGTGGGGAGGGGCGGGGACTGCTGTGCTTATGGAAACTGATCACAGTGAGGACACTGGCCTGGATGTTGCCTACCTGTGCCCAGATCCCTGCTCTGTGGTTGCCTGGCTACGGGGTCTCAGGCACCTGCGTAACCTCCTGAGCCTCGGGTTCCTCACCTGGGACGTGAAGACGCACCCACCTCGTAGGGCCATGTTGGTGAAGCATTTCACACTGCGGGCACGCAGGAAGGTGGTTGTGTGGCTGCCACTGAGGACACCCTCTGCTCGCTGCAGAGGGAACCGTGTATTTGTTTCCGGGGCTGCTGTAATAGATAACCTCAAGCTGCGTGAGTAAAACGCAGACACTTAGTCTGTCTTCGTTTAGGAGGCAGAATGCGTTGCACGCCTCGCTCCTGGCTTCTGCCAGGTGGTTGCTGCCTATCCTTTGCGTTCCTCGGCCTGTTGATCTATCATCCCGACCTCTGCCTCCACCTTCCTATCGCTGCCTTCTCTGTGTCCTTCCTCTTGTGAGGACATCAGTCATTGGAGTTAGGGCCCACCCTAAATCCAGTAGGATATCGTCCTGAGATCCTTGACTCATTACATCTGCAAAGACTCTATTTCCAAGTGAGGTCACCTCCTGAGGTTCTGAATGGATATCGGTTGGGGGGTGGGGAACTATGCAGCCCAGTACGGTAGGCCATGTCTGTGAAGTCACACTGTGGTTGTACAGAAATGGGGTGTGGCTGGAGGAAGTGGGGGGACGGACTGTACCGGGGGCAGGGTGGAGGATGGGCTCTGATGCCTCCCTCCACGCAGGACTACCTCTTGAAGATCATTGACACGCCTGGGCTGCTGAAGCCAGAACAAGTCAGCGCCCTCTTTGGGAACATAGAAAACATCTATGCACTGAACAGGTATGGAGTGGGACTAACACATACTGCGTTCTGCCTGTGAGGCCCATCTTAGGGCCTAGAAGAGCCCTGGATGGGCCTAGTCTCCTGGGCTGTGACATGTGGGCCAGGGGCCTGATCACTGAGGGTGGGTGGGTAGTGGTGCTCTGCCCCTGTAAGGTGCTACAGTCAGCTCCCTGTAGGAGAGAGGGGGTGTGGGGTCACGTGCCCTGGGGCTGCTGTGCCTCCTGTCAGGCGGGGGAGACCATCTGAGGTCATGTGCATGTTGGGGCCAGACTGGGCCAGGCCAGCACCCCCTCAGGGAATGGCTGGACTCTGGCATGTGATGCTCTTCTCTCTGTCCCTTTGTGGCCCTTTGTCTCTTCCATCTTTCTCCCCTTCTTGTACATCCCTTAACTTCTTCATCACCTTCCTACTGACCCCATGGGAAACCAGGGCTCCCTGGAGGTGACCCTTCAGGTGAATGAACCCTTCAGGTGAATGAACAGATCAGGCGAAAGGGGAGGCTGAGTGAGGTCTGGCAGGAGGCTACTTCAGGGCAAAGGGGCTCCTTGAGGATATGGCGTGTGCTGCCGGGGCCCACAGATTCCCCAGGGCGAGGGCACTGGTCGGGGGGAGTGTGCTTAAGGGGACAGCATTGATAGGATATAGGGCCCTCTGAGATGGCTGAGAGACTTCCTGCAGTGCAAGCTTCAGAAGGCCGGGAGGGCAGGGTGACTTGGGCCAGGTGCTGGTGGGGGTTGGGAAGACAGATGCATGGGAGGAGGTGACAGGGGAGCGTTGTGGTTAGGGTTTCCCATAGCATCCCAACCTGAATCCAAGTTCAGGCTCTGGGACTCCCCCTCTCTCCCTTTCCTGCATCCTTTTGCACCGGGGTGTGTGTGTCGGGGACCTTTGCTTACTTTGGGAATCCCAGCCCTCTTCTTCCTCCCCCTTTAATCTCAGTCTGTGTGTGTTTGACTCCTTCTGCTTGCAGAGGAGCTGTCTCTCCTCCCAAGGTGGGTACTCGCATCCCCTTTCTCTTGCTTGCTGAGCATGTGGGGCTCCTTTGCTCCCCATCTTTGCGGCAGTGCCGAATACTCTGTGGTTGCTGGCCTGCATGGGGCTCACTCTGAGGGGGGAGAAGCCCTGACTCTTTGGCGTGTCACCAGGGCTGGCTGTGTATCTGGGAACCAGGAGGTTGGGGAGGGGACTTGTTGGTAGGTGTGGAGGCTGTGAGCTGTCTGGGGTCTGACGACCACTTCCCCTTCCCCCAGCCAGCTACTCAGAGACCTGGACGGCTGCAATAGTGACCCTGTGGCTGTGGCCAGCTGCTTTGTGGAAAGGGTAAGAAGGGCTGGGTTCTTGCCTCTTGTCCCACCTTGCTGGGGACTCAGAGGCACAGGAACGCCCAGCAGAGGCTTCTGCCAGGGGAAGGAGGGGCGTTCTGGGGTGCCTCAGGTGGGAGGGGCATTCTGGGGTGGAGCCAGGGGCTGCTAGGTGGATGGGGTGTCCCAGGGAGATGGGCACAAGGATGGATCTGCAGGTGTTCAGGGAAAGGGGGGCAGAGGGTACTCTGGGGATCAGGGCCATGTTTTTGGTATTCCCAAGTTTGCAGCCTCCCAGAAATCGCTATCTTTGTTCGGTCTCTTCTTAGAGCCAAGAGTTTGATATCTACACCCAGTATTGCAACAACTACCCCAAGTGAGTAATTGGGGTGGAGAGGGGAGGTAGAGTTATTTGGTGGGCCTGGAGCACCACACGCCCCCATCTAGGCCTTCCCAGGCAGTGATGGCTGCCTCCTCCCCTCCCAGCTCAGTGGCCGCCCTGACCGAGTGCATGCGGGACAAGCAACAGGCCAAGTTCTTTCGGGACCGGCAGGAGCTGCTACAGCACTCTCTGCCCTTGGGCTCCTACTTGCTGAAGCCCGTCCAGCGCATCCTCAAGTACCACCTGCTGCTCCAGGTAACCCAGAGGTCTTCCTGAGGATGGGGGGCTCAGGGGAGGGGCAGGGCCTGAGTCTGGGTCGCCTGAGCGCCTGTCTCCCGTACAGGAAATCGCCAAACATTTTGATGAAGAAGAAGACGGCTTCGAGGTGGTGGAGGATGCCATTGACACCATGACCTGCGTGGCCTGGTACATCAATGACATGAAGAGGAGGCACGAGCATGCAGTCCGGCTCCAGGTGCTGCAGGGCTGGCGGCTGGAGGGACTCGCAGGGGCGGTGGGGCGAGATGGGGTGGCGCTTGGGAGAGCGCCTGCTGCGGTGAGCTGAGGGCTCGTTTCCCTGTGGGGTGGGCTTCTCTGTGGGGAGCCCTTGTGGCAACGTGTGTCTGACGGATGCAGGTAGTGGCTGTGTCTGCAGGAGTTTTCTGGGGCTCCACGCAGTCCCCAGAGTGTCATGAGCAGCCTGACTCTGGGGCTCCCTGCTTCTCTGCTGCAGGAGATTCAGTCACTGCTCATCAATTGGAAGGGACCAGACCTGACCATCTATGGGGAGCTCGTCCTGGAGGGCACGTTCCGCGTGCACCGCGTGCGCAACGAGAGGACCTTCTTCCTCTTTGACAAAGCTCTGCTCATCACCAAGAAGCGAGGCGATCACTTTGTCTACAAGAGTCATATCCCGGTAACCAGGCTGCTGTCCTGTTCTCTGCCCCTCCACTCCTTCTCCACTTCCCCCATTTTAGTGGGCCAATCTCCAGACCCTTTTTTTTTTTTTTTTTTTTAAAGATTTTGTTTTTGGGGCGCCTGGGTGGCTCAGTCAGTTGAGTGTTGGACTCTTGATTTTGACTCAGGTCATGATCCCGGGGTCATGGGATGGAGCCCCGAGTTAGGCTCCACACTGGGCGTGGAGCCTGCTTGGGATTCTCTCTCCCTCTCCCTCTGCTCTCTCTCTTAAAATAAAAATAAATTAATTAAAAAGAAAAGATTTTATCTTGAAGTAATCTCTCCACCCAGTGTGGGACTCGAACCTAAAACTCCAAGATCAAGAGTCACATGCTTTACTGACTGAGTCAACCAGACGGCCCCAGGCTGTACTTCGTGACCTCTTCATGGGCTCCGGGTTGGTGTGGATACAGCTCTATCCTTCTGAGATTACTCTTCCTGCCTCCCCAGATGGTCTCGAGGGGCTGGGGCCCCAGGTCACCCCCACCCCCCAATGCCCCTTCTTGTGCTTGACTGCACTCTCTCTCTGCCCCAGTGCTCCTCCCTGATGCTGATCGAAAGCACCAGAGACTCCCTGTGCTTCACCGTCACCCACTACAAGCACAGCAAGCAGCAGTACAACATCCAGGTGAGGGTTGGGCGGCTGGGGACAGACCTGCCTTCTCAGCTCGCTTGGCTCTACTGAGCCTCAGTGTCTCTCTCTGGAAGGTAGAGATCATTGTGGACATCTCTCAGGCTTGTGTTGGGGAGTTAAGATAACCTCACAGAGGCCCCAGCACGGGCCATCTTTCTGCCGCTGCCCCCCTGACAAGCGTGGCCTACGTCGGATGGCTTCCGTCTTGTGATAATAACACCTGGCTCCCTCTCCCTCGGGTCCTTCCAGGCCAAGACAGTGGAGGAGAAACGGAGCTGGACTCACCACATCAAGAGGCTCATCCTGGAGAACCACCACACCACTATCCCCCAGAAGGTGAGGGCGGCGGGGGGGGGTACCCCACCTAGCCCCTGATGGGCTGCAGGGAGAGGTGATCCTCAGCCAGGGCCAGGGGCCCACCAGTGCCTCACCCTCTGGACGTTGGCTCCACTCGACAGTGGGGATAAGCCGATGCCCTCGACCTCAGCATAGCACTGCGGGTGTCCCGGTGCAGTAAGAGCCGAGCTGGTGGAGCAAGGGAGGCATGGCACATAGTGAGGTGGGAACAGGGTGTGTTTCCTTTCCTTCCAGGCCAAGGAAGCCATCTTGGAAATGGACTCCTACTGTAAGTGTGCCCTTTCTGCCTGCTTTGCCCCTAGTTGTGCACATCTCTAGGTCACGTTGCATCCTGGGGAAACTCTGCCTACTGCTTATATTGCAGGGAGCAGGGAGGATGGGAAAGGGAAGCTCCTTTTGTCAAAGGCTAGGGTTCTGCTGCAAGGTCAAGGGCATGGTCCTGTTGGCAGGTGCGACTCCTAGTGCCTCACATTCCTGGACGGAAGATGGAAGAGAAGGGAGCTCTGGAGGCTTCTGGCCCCTGGAGCTGGGGCGGGCAGCAGAGGTGTGGTCAGGTATAGTCAGAGTCTAGGCCAAGGCTGATTGTGAATCTCGTGTGCAGATCCCAGTCGGTACCGCTGCAGCCCGGAGCGCCTGAAGAAGGCTTGGTCCTCCCAGGACGAAGTGTCCACCCACGTGCGGCAGGGGCGCCGGCAGTCTGGTAAGGGAAGGGCTGTGTGGGCAGAGATGCTTCCTCGGAGGACTCTGGGCCAGGAGGGGGACTGTGTGCAGCAGCATTTGGGGCTGGCTGCCACCTCTCCGGACATCTTGGGAAAGGGCAGGTCCCGGGAGGGTTGCTGGGCACATGTAGAGCACCCCCTCCCAGTGCTCCTGCTTCGGGCCCTTCTTGTGCCCCAGGGTTGGGCAGCCCACCTTTTCCCGCACCCTGAGAATGCTGGTTTACTCAGGGCTCGGTGCCCCTTAGCTTTCCCGCGACTGAAACCTTGCTCCTTGGCCACTCAGAATCCTGGAGCCCAGCCAGGAGTGACGCTCAGACATCATGGGTGATCCCCAGCCCAGTTCTGGAGCAGAGCAGAGGCAGAACGCGGGGAAAACGAGTTAGACGTCAAGTGGCACCAAATCCAGACAGGAAATATTTACTTTGGGTCTCAGGAAAAGTTCAGTTTTCCTCTGCTGGGTTTTCTTCCATGACTGGGCTTGCTGCTATGTACTTGGAGTTACTGGAATGAATCGTCTGTTGAAAAAGAGAGAGCCTTGCGTTTATTCTTAGCTCTGGGGGTGATAAGTGAGTGTATTCTACGTCTGTTCGTCTGTTTGTACTCTTCAGTCAGAGGCCCAGGGACAGACTTAGCCTCAGCTGGTACCTACCAGACATAGACGAGGTGAGAGTTGGAATGAGAAATGTCTCAGAAACCCCTGGAGAGAAGATTCGGCAGTATGGGCAGCACTGGCCTGGCTTAGATCTCCGTGGTGCACTGGGCTTTGGCTGTGACCCACGGGTCCCCTGAACAACTATGTGGATTGACACGTGGGCTTTGGTTTTCTGGAAGGTGGAACCAAGCGGTCTCTGGAAAGCTTTTGTGATTTTGTTTTGTTATGTGTTCCTCCCAATGGACCTTAAACCCTAGGCAAATTTGCTATGGTTGCAAAAGTTTTACGATGTCGTATTGTTAAAAGCCCCAGACTGAGGGTGTTACTTCGTATGTTTCTGGCCCTTTCTGTTTTCCTTTTTTTCTATAATGTTCTTTCCGCCCTTCTAGCGTTCCCCTTTAACCTGCCATAGCTTTGCATTGGAAGCTTCTGGATCATGGAGGTGATGATGGTGGTGGTGGTTGAAACAGCAGTACCGCCTGTCGTAACATCAGTGTCCAAACTGCAGCTATCAAGGCACTCGGGAAATGAGCTGTTTTAGAGCTAAGTTTTGACAAGACAGAGACTTTAGCCCGTGAACACGGACAGAGTCGTGTTCTGTTTACTTGTGTTCATACTTTAGTTTCAACCATTATGAAACAAACATCTTTTTTTTATTTTTTTTAATGTTTATTTATTTTTGAGAGAGAGAGAGACAGTGTGCAATCAGGGGAGGGGCAGAGAGAGAGGGAGACACAGAATCCAAAGCGGGCTCCAGGCTCGGAGCTGTCGGCACAGAGCCCGACGTGAGGCTCAAACACTGGGATCCTGACCGGAGCCGAAGTCATACACGTAACTGACTGAGCCACCCAGGCGCCCCGAAACAAACATCTTTCTAAAACATGCTGCCTGCTCTTGAGCCTTTCAGGGTAGAGGATGCTGACCACAGTTGAACTTTCCCCTTTCTGGAGACTGCTGCGGCCTGTGAACCGCTAGGGCAGTGGCGTTTGTCGTGTGGTGTCCGTCCTTACCCCGGAGCGTTGGTTCTCGTCTGTGGTAGTGTGCTCGCCTGTAGCTCTTCTCCCCACGTGTGTTGTTTGAAATCAGCTGACTGAACTTGTAAGAAGTGTGGGTAAAGACAGGCCGGCAAGGGGCCCCTAGCCGTCTCAGTCGGTGGAGCATGTGACTCTTGATCTTGGGGTCATGAGTTTGAGCCCCATGTTGGGTGTAGAGAGTATTTTATTTTTTATTAAAATAATATATTTTTTTGAGTTTACTTATTTTGAGGGGGAGAAAGAAAGCGTGCGTGACGGGGCAGAGAGAGACAGAGAGACAGAGAGAGAATCCCAAGCAGGCTCCACACTGTCAGCACGGAGCCTGACGCAGGGCTCGAACTCCTAAATCAAGGGTCGGTCGCTTAACTGACTGAGCCATCCAGGCACCCTGGGTGTAGAGATTACTTTTAAAAAAGTGTTTAAAAAAGAAGGAGGGGAGGGGCAGGAAGTTGCTGAGAGGGAGACGCAGGCCCAGTGCTAGCACTGCCGTGACGCATGGAGCCACCTACTCTCTTGCCTCCGGGCCTCCTCCTTCCAGACTGCTGAGCTGGGCAGAGAAGTACACTCTGGATACGGAAGGTGCTGCTGTCATTACTTGTCACTTACGAAATATTCTTGATTACAAGCTTTAAGATGAAAGAGTAGGGCATTCTACTTTTCTCACTTAAAAAAAACAGTCGGATTAACGTTTACTTATGTTGTCTGTGTACCCACACCCACACCTCAGTGGAAAAAACTTCAGCGTGCTCCCCTGCTCGGGAACAGCCCGGAGACCTTGGTAGATTTCCCTTCTGTCCCCCAAGTTTATAGTGGGCTGCCCAGTTAACATCAGTGGGGCAAGAACAGTATGGGCTAAGGTCAAGACTGCGTGGAGAGGTCCCTCGACACATGTCCTCCCGTCCCTGCCTGTCTGTCTCAGGTCTGTCTCCAGAAAGGCTGGGGTACACGGTGCTGACACCATCAGCCTAATGGGTGTGTTTTGTATCTTGTTCCCAGAGCCCGGTCAGCCCCCGTTCAGCCGGGCATCACTCCCCAGCGGGCAGCGAGGCTTCACGGAGCCAGGCCTTAAGGGCCGTAGGAAGTCGGGTGCGACCTCTGCTTTCCAGCCAGGGGTGCTGCGAGGGGGCTGGGCCTCGGGTGTCGCTAATGCGCTGATGTGCTTCTTGCAGGGAGGGTGGGGCTTGAGGTAGAGCCAGGCATCTCCAGCGACGTGGCCGGTTGGTCCTAGGCAGCATGGGGCTCTGGCTCCGGAACTGAGGGCCCTGGGCGAGGTGCACTAATGCAGCGATTGTGGGCAGAGCTGCTCCTGGTGCTGGCTGGGGGTGGCCCGGGCCCTGCTTCCCTGTGCGGTAGGTACGGAGCCCCAGAGCTGAATGGCAGCCAAGCTGGAGGGAACTTTGAGCTGGTGGTGTCGGTGGCGCTGTGAGCATGGGACCAGGGCCAGGCACCGCTGTTTCCAGGCCTGCACTGACTGTCCATTCGCTTCCCTTCTCAGAGCCCACCAGACACCTGCTCAGGCAACTCAGTGAGAAAGGTGAGTGTGAGCATGGCCGGGCCTTCCCGGCAAGCTCTAGGGTAGGGGCAGGGAGGTGACACAGATAGGCTTCTGGGTGGGGGTACTGAGGACAGTTTAGAGGGGACGCTGCCTCCCTTCCTCCTTCCTCCCTGGAGGTGGGCCTCATCCCTTGCTGTCTGGGGAGGGGGCTTGAGTCCTCCCCCCTCACACACTCCTTGCACCCTGTCCTCGGGGGACAGCAGGAGAGAGTGACACACACAGGCCTGTGCCGCTCTGCATCTCCCAGGGCCTCTGCTTTGCCAGTCATTCCTTTGAAAGCCCAGGAGACCGGGTGAGGGTTCTGGGAGTGGGAGCCCTTCCCCGGGGGGCTCCTGGCTTCTGTAAAGAGGCTCTTCCTCCTGCTTACCCATCTCTTCTCCCCTCCCCCTTGCCTGTGTGCTGGGACCCTGTGGTGGCAGCAGGCGGAACAGCGGGAATGAAGGTAAGGCCGATGGGCAGAGAGGACTGGCCTGACGGAGGGGGGGTGGGGCTGCCGGGTCAGTGCCCCCGCCCCTTCAGCTCTCACTGTCTTCATGCATTCCATAAATACCTATCGAGCACCTCCTGTGTGCTGGCCTCTGTCTTGAGAGTCACAGAGACGAATAAGCCATGGTCCTTGCCCCGGGGACCCTTCTGCACCCTTTTCCTGGAATGGTACCCTGGTGGTGGCCCAGCCTGGATCTTCTCCATTTTCTCTCTCTGGGGCAGGCAGACCTCGCTGGGTCTTGAGTTCCTGACCAGGCTCCAGGTCCCAGCCTTCCACCTTGAGGACCCCCACCCCCACCCTCACTGGGCCCTGGTGGACACCAGGGGTTGGGTGTTTAAGTGTGGCTTTCTCTGGGTAAAGCCTCCCCACCCCCAGCCGCTGGCAGGAGGAGGGGGCTTGCCCAGAGGCTGGTCACGAGGGGGTCTTGTGCTCTGAACAGCATGCAGGCAGTGCCGGCGCTCTCCTGGACTTTGGGCGGCCTCCTCGTGCTCAGGGCATACAGCCAGAGGCTGAAGGGGCTGCCCGGGAGGAACAGGAGGAGGAGGAGGAGGAAGAGGAGGAGGAGGAGGAGGTGGTGGAGGAGGAGGAGGAGGAGGAGGAGGAGGAGGAGCAGGCCTTTCAGGTGTCTCTGGAAGACTTGGCAGGGCATGAAGGCAGCAAGAAGGGGGCCAGGCTGGAGCCCCAAGGCTCGGAGGAGGAGGAGGAGGAGGAGGAGGAGAGCCTGGCAGTGGCGGAGCAGGTAGCCGACTTTGCCAGCTCCCTGCTGGCCGCCCTCCACTGCTGGCACTATCGGGCCAACGCTTTACTTTTCTCCCGGGGCGCTATGGTGAGGTGTCTCTTTGATCTCCCCTCCTCCTTGCATGTTCCCTGGCGAGTGCATGCCCATCCGGGAGTTCTCTCCCCTGCCCTCCCACCCCTCCGTCCTGTTCCTTCATTCCTGCCATCAGCACCTAACCCCTTGCCTGCTGTCATGCCCCAGTGAGCCCCTGGCATGTGCTGTTCCAGTACTGGGCGTGAACTAGCTTACTTCCCAGTGAGCATGACTAATGGGATGGGGGTGGTGGGGAAGGGGGAGAAGCCGGCACACAGGGGGGCTGGAAGGGGCAGGTGGGTTGGACTTTCCTGAGGCTGCGCACCTGGCAGGGATTTCTGCATCCCCAGACCTTGCAGTTCAGGTTGACTGTGGAAAGGCTCAGGTCCCAGGCTGGCTCTCGATACAGCCCAGCCGCCTTGGGGGCTCAGAAGGTTCTGCCCATGTTGGGCTGCAGAAGGGACGAGCTCCCAGCTGTCCCAGAAGCTGATGATGGCCCTCTGCTTCCTGCAGGAGAAGGGGCGTAGGGAGTCCGAAGGCCCCAAGAGCCGCAGAAGGCCCGGCGGCCGGTCTCCCACTAGTGCTGAGAAGCGCATGAGCTTTGAGTCCACCTCTTCGCTGCCAGAGGTGAGTGGCCGGCAGGCAGAAGGGGGACGGTGCAGGAATGCTCGGAGCGCCTGGTCCGCAGGTGGGGCTTCCAGGCACGGGCTCTCCTGTTGGGCCCGTGGGGACAGATTCCCTCCTCCACGCCCCAGGACTCTTTGCCCCTTTAGGAAGCCTGTCTGGCCTGTGAGCGTGTGGTAGTGTGAGTGGGCAGCTCCTTTCTTTGGGCAGGTGCAGACTCTCGTCAAGGGCCATATTCGTGGGAGTGACCAGATTTTAGGTCCCTTCAGCCAGGCCTCCTGGTATAGGGCGTAAGGCCCTGCCCCCTCCAGCATGCCAGACATTTAAGTCACACCTGTGCCCACCTGGGTATTGACATCTACTGGGCGCTTCCTGCTTGTCCGATGTTTTGTTTCTTCCTTCTGTTGCCTGCAACAGCTCAGGTAGAAAGAGGCTGAGAGAAGTTGAGTGACTTGCCTGACATCGGGCAGCTGCCGAGGGGCAGAGCTGAGGTCAGAACCTGTGACTCAGAAGCCCCCCTTCCACTTCCTGGCACACAGGCCTAAACCATGGGTCCTGCTTTGCACACTTGGGACTAGAACCATTGGAATCGGGTCTGATTCCTTAGAATGTAGCATGTTTGCTCTTTTTCCCGAAGGTCCCTGTGGAAGGCTGCCTGTACTGGCTGGTTTCGTGGTTCAGATCACCTTCAAGGTGGTCAGGAGGAAGTTCTTGAATTCGCTTCCTTCCTTGCCTGTCTGCTGGGCATCTGCAGAGTTGTGCATAGGGCCAGAGGCTGGCTGGTAGGAGCCAGATGCCGGTCGTCACCCTCTGACAGGACTCTAGCATGGGGTCCTGTTGCGCTGTGGATCCTCATCCACACAGGAGGTCCTTACCCCTCAGGGAAGGTGGGTCTGAACCCAGAACAACCCCCATGTGGCCTCTAGGGCCTTAGGGAGCTGCCTCTCCATCAGGCATACCCTGTGTTGTATGCTCCCACCTTGTCCCTCTGGCTCCCAGGCAGGCTGCCACTGAGAGGTGCCAACACCACCCAATATGTGTTCTTAGAATTGTCCTTGGGTTTTACGACCCAAGCCCCCTCGCTGCATGATGGCTGGGGGTCATCACCACATTCCTCTCTCTAAGGACCTGTTTCCCCACTCGAGTTGTGCTCATTCTCATTGCCTTTGGTCCTAAACTGCATGCCCTCTCACTGAACCGAGAGAGCAGGTCATGCTGTCTGCTTATCCTTTGGATCTCATGAGGGAGGGTCTTGGCTCACATGAGTTCTGTTATCCCAGGTTGAGCCAGGCCCTGAGCCTGAGACAGAGCAGGAAGTATTTGCTGCTGTGGAAGGTGCCAGCATCGAGGAGGTGCCCTCAGACATGGAGTCTCCAGAAGTCCTGGAAACACAGCTTGATGCCCACCAGGAGCTGCTGGGGATGGCCCCCCCGGGTGACATGGTGGACTTCGTGGTGGCCGAGAGCACCGAGGACCTTAAGACTCTGAGCAGTGAGGAGGAGGAGGAGGAGGAGGAGGAGGAGGATGTGGGTGCCACGCAGGAGCCTGAGAGCCTCCTGCCGCCCTCCGTGCTGGACCAGGCCAGCATCATTGCCGAGCGGTTCGTCAGCAGCTTCTCTCGGCGGAGCAGCCTGGCCCTGGAGGATGGCAAGGCCAGTGGCTTTGGGAGCCCGAGGCTGACAAGCCGGAGCAGCAGCGTGCTCAGCCTAGAGGGCAGCGAGAAGGGCTCGGCCCGGCGTGGCAGCACCACCGACGCCCTCGGCTCGCAGCCGCCCCCAGAGGTGGACAGCGGTGTGGGCGTGGCCACGGAGAGCAGCCCTTCGGTCAACGGGACGGAGCCCCCGAGCCCAGGCTGCCCTGCAGAGCCCGACAGGTCTTCCTGTAAGAAGAAGGAATCGTCACTCTCCACCCGAGACCGGCTGTTGCTGGACAAGATCAAGAGCTACTATGAGAACGCGGAGCACCATGATGCGGGCTTTAGCATCCGGCGCCGAGAGAGCCTCTCCTACATCCCCAAAGGGCTGGTGAGGAACTCCGTTTCCAGATTCAACAGCCTTCCCAGGCCGGACCCAGAGCCCACGGCTCCGCTGGGGCACAGGAGGCAGGTGAGCTCCCGGCCGGCTTCGTGGGCTATGTTTGACCTCCCAGGCCCCGGCCAGGCGAGCGCTGGGGAGCCAGCTCCTATCACAGATGCTGAGTTCAGGCCGTCTTCAGAAATTGTAAAGATCTGGGAGGGAATGGAGTCTACCGGGGAGAGCTCTCACAAGGGGCCTGGCCAAGGCCAGGCCAATGGTTTTGACCTGCACGAACCGCTCTTCATCCTGGAGGAGCACGAACTGGGGGCCATCACCGAGGAGTCGGCCGCCGCCTCCCCTGAGAGTGCCTCCCCCACGGAGCGGCCCAGCCCGGCCCACCTGGCCCGGGAGCTGAAGGAGCTCGTGAAGGAGCTGAGTGGCGACGTCCAGGGGGAGCTGGTGGCTCCGCTGCACCCGCGCATCGTCCAGCTCTCCCACGTGATGGATGGCCGCGTGAGCGAGCGAGTCAAGAACAAGGTCTACCAGCTGGCCCGCCAGTACAGCCTGCGGATCAAGAGCAAATCTGTGCCAGCCAGGCCACCGCTCCAATGGGGAAAGGCGGCTCCCACCATTCCCTGCCTGCAGGAGGAGGCTGGAGCACCCTCAGGCGGCAAAGGTACAGTGAGGGGGTGGGGAGTGGGCCCTTCCCGAAAGTCTGGGGTGGAGGAGCTTCTGAGGAGCAGGTTGGCTCCTGGAGGAAGGTGACCCTGTAGAACCATGACCAAAGAGAGGGCTGGACTCCACACGCAGGGCGGTGCGTGGCCCTGCTGTAACACCCTCACCGCCCTCCCCTGGCCCTTCCTGTGGAGCAGAGACCTCGGGGAAACGTGGCCATGGGCCCACTCTTCCAGGGGAGGAAGATCTCGTCTTTTCTGTGACTCCTGACCCCACGTCCAACTGCCTTTTCCTCATTCTTCCCATTGCCCTCCGATAAAGGGGCCGTGGATGGTGAATGTGACTTCTCTGCCATCACAACCCAAACCCCAGTAAGCAGCCTTGCCTGGAGCGGAAGCAGAAGGCAGTTCTGAGTCCTCACTTGCCCTCTCCCCTCCTGCCCAGTGGGTCAGTCAGCTCACTCTCTCCCCACAGGTAAGAGAAAGCCGGTGCTGTCCCTCCTCAGCGATGAGCAGACGGTGGCCCCGGAGCACAGCCCGCCCAAGCCCTGCTCTCCTCGGCATTGCTCCTTCAGCCCCACTGCTGCCAGCCCGAGGACCACCTCGCCTGGGGTCCGGCCCTCCTCTCGAAGCCCCCTCAGCCCTTTCGACACTGAGACCTTCAACTGGCCTGATGTCCGAGAGCTCTGCTCCAAGTACACCTCCCACGACGAGGCATTCCAGGCCGAGGGCGGCCGGCCCCGTGGCCAGCCTGTCAACCGGAGCCGCTCGGTGCCGGAGAACATGGTGGAGCCCCCTCTGGCGGGCAAGGTGGGCCGCTGTTGCAGCGTGGGCGCCAAGAGGGGCCGGGCAGACCCAGAGGCCACTCAGCCCCAGCCGCCTGGGGGATTGCCCCAAAGCAGGCCGGTCGGAGAGGAAGCCCTGTATGTCACCGCAGACCTCACCCTGGAGAACAACAGGCGGGTGATCGTCATGGAGAAGGGGCCTCTGCCCTGCCCCACTGCGGGGCTGGAGGAGGGCAGTGGGCAGAGACCAAGCTCACCAGCAGCCGCGGTGGGACAGGGGCTGGATTTCCAGGAGTCTGGGATTTCCAGGAGTCCAGAGTATTGGCCAAAGGAAGAGGGTCCCAGGGACCCAGTGGACCCAGGCCAGCAGGGCAGAGTGAGAAACCTGAGGGAGAAATTCCAGGCCTTGAACTCTGTAGGGTGATTCTGAGTCCAAGGAGAGGGAGGAGCCGTGTGGCTGTGGGGGGGGGACGGGGAGGGACCATGGCAGGCTTGCCCTCAGGCCTGGCTCACCCTGCTCACGAGGGCCCCTGGAAGAATGCTCCGGTGTACCCGGCAAGTGTCTTCACTGGGAACCGGCTGGTGCACCCCTGGGCTCGGGGCGACTTTCCACAGGCCCAGTTGAGCCTTTCTTCCCACCGAGGCCAGTGTGACCACTTCCCTTGTATATAGTTCTTTGGTGAGAAGCTGAATATTTAAGCTCTCCTCTTCCCAGGGAGAGCAAGTCGTGCTCAGGCCTCCAGTGTTGGGCTGACCACTGCCGGGCTGAGGCGCCCACCCGGAGGAGTCGTGGGGAGGTGGCCTGGGGAGGCTTTCCTCTTTGTGTCTTTTCTTAGGATCCAGGCAGGAACCAGGCCCATAATTTATTGCTTCCCATTCCGCGGTATATTTGTGTGTGCACGTGAGAGTTTGTGTGTGTTCTTTTGTTGTGGATTCCTCTCCCGTGAAGAATGTAACGCGCTCAGTTCAGGTACTTTTGTAGGTTGTCTTGCTGATCCTGTGGTTGTCACTAATGTATATACATTTCATTATTTGCCAATGGTTCAATAACCACTGCTGACCAACTGGCCTGTGTGTGGCTCCTCACTGGGCCTCACTGGGGGGGGGACGGTTGATCAAGGCCAGGGATGTCTTAGGGAGGCGGGCTGCGGGGGTTGTTGCTGTCACAGTCACTCATTCGTCATCTGTGCTCACAAAGCATAAGGCACCAGGGTGCTCGCCGGGGAGGCTGGGGCAGCAGCATGTGCAGGAGGGAACTTGTTTTCTGTCTACCCCAGCCTGGCATCCTGTCGGTGGCGGGAGTTGGGGGTGGAGGGACCAGGCCAGGTTTTAGCTTCCTCAAGGACCAAAGTTCGACTAAGCAAGGTGGGGGGAATGAACGTTTTTCTAACAGGCGGAAGTTTCCAACGTCTGGTGCCCTTTACTCTTCTCTCCCTCTCTAGTTCCCAAGAGACATCCTAAAAGGCAAGGATTCTAAACTTGGAGCCTAGACATGTCTTGAGGTGGCCTGCAATATTGTGTAAAGAGAGCAAGTGCATTTTTTCTGGGATGGAACCTCAGTTTTCATCCCGTTCTCAAAGGGTCTTTTCTTGAAAGGGCTAGGAATGCCTGCCTGTTTCTAATTGGGCTTTCTTTCTGCCCTTTCTCTGTGGCGCACCAGCCTTGTTTGGCCCTGTTCCTGCAGGCGTGTGTTCCCACAGGTCTTGTGGGTCAGGGCTTCGTGAGCTTCTGATCTCAGAGGACAGACTCGGTCTGAAAGCAGGTGTGCAGAGTCTAAAGAGGCCAAGGGAAGAGTGGAGGCCAGGGGAGGCCTCTCCGAAGCAGCAGCAGACAGGGCTAGCCTGTGTTCTACCCATTGTCCTGAATGTTATGCGGTTTCCACAGTTGCTGAGGATAGAGGCGTGTGTTGGGGTATGATGCTCAGTAGCTATAAATTTACTGGAGTGAGAGGACGCCCAGGTTCTGGTCCCAACCTCTTGCCATTAACTAGCCGGGTCACCTGAAACTCTTGCTTTTTCCTTACCTACAAATCGAAGGAAATGGATGATGTACAGCTTGTCAAACTCCCTCAGACTTTTCAGGGGGTAGGGTCTGGGAAGTTGCAGTGAACACCTTCCCCAGGTGATCCGTAACCATCTAGGCGTGATGGTGAGCCCTGAACCAGCTCACTGGTTCTCACTACCAGTGAGAATGGTCAGTGGGGCCTTTTGAAAAATGGCGATGCCTGTTTCGCCCCTCTGGAGATGTGAGGGCCACATCTCCTCCCTCATGTGAGGGCTAAGTGAGGGCCAAGATCTCCGTCCAGAGCTCTGTGGGGGAAAGGCTTGCCGAACGCATGAATGAGCAAGCGCTCTCGGTCTCAGGCAAGGCACAGCTCCTGGGTGGTGGCCTAGGATTTTCCAGGGACAATCCAGAGAATCTGTCCCTTTGTCTCCATGGTGATACCCCCTTGCTCAACTACCCCTCCTTGGTCCAGTTCAGAGGGAAACAAAACCAGTCAAATCAGTGAGAAAGATGGAGCATTATTGATTTATTAGAAAAACTAGTAAATGGGTTTTCTCTGGTTGGTGGAAGCACATTTGAGCAGGTGGAGGACAAGGCCCCGCTGGCCCCAGGGCCAGCCCCAGATCGCGTGGTCTGTGCCCAACAGGGCTGCAGTCGTGTGTAGCTGCCTCCTCCTCCCTTGTGTCCTCCCTGAGCTTGCTTGTCCAAAGGACCAAGTCATATGGTCCTGGATCCCTGTCTGCTCCCACTAAAGGGAGGGGAGAGAGATCCAGGACCAACCTCGGGGACCCTGGTTGCCCTCCAATAGGCAGGAAAGAGAAATGGTGTGGTGGGGACGCTGGGCCTTCCACAAGCTTCCTGTGACTGGTGCTAGTTGTGGGGGCTGGGGGGAGGCCTGAGGACCCTCCATACGCCCCTCAGCCAATCAGTTCAGGCAGGGGGTGAAGGGGAAAGAGAGAGGGAAGGAGGACTGCCTGACCATGCCCAGAAGGAGCTTCGTGTAAGCTGCCCTGGGGAGGAAGCCTGTTATGCTGGTGTGGACGGGAGCTGTGTCAACCTAGTTTGGGAATACCGTTAAAAGAGTGCAAAGTAGAAAATGGAAGGAGGGGAAAAAGGAACCTTGCCAGGGCACCAGGAGCTTAGCCCCAGGTGGCACAGTCTCCCAAAGCTGGGCTCCTGTAGGCTCAGTCCTGTTGGTTGAGTGCCTCGGGGCTTGCGTGATGGGAGAGGGATGTGTGGGGAGCTGGCAATAGAGGGGCCACATGCAGCTGGCTGCCAGTCTGGGGGACCCGGGGTGGTGAAATCCTACCTCTTCCTTTGGGATCCTTCCATTCTTTGGACTATGGAGTCACTTGCTGGAAATGTCTCACCTCAGTTGCAGCTTTGGCACACATGGAGGGGACAGGGTGGTCCTTGGTCTCCCTAAAGATTGGCCCAGGGAGAGGAGGAAGATTCTTGCCACTATCTGCCTTGGAGCAGGACATGCCCTCAGATGCACTAGAGGCCTTCTTCATCACCAGTTGAGTATGGTCACCTCACTGCCTCCTGCCTTGGTTTCCCCAGATGGAGAAAGAGGCTGGTGAATGGTATATACTAGCTTTCCTGTAGATGCAAAGAGGGATGCAGGATTAGATGCAGAGAGGCCAAGTGAAGACCCTGGCTCTAAAGGTGGGGCCACCTGATCTGGGGGTGCTGGGCTCTATTGGAGAACTTCCCTCCTGTTCTTGTCTGCTGAAGTTAGCTTCCCCTTGGCAGGGTGGTATTGATCTCTAAGCTGTGCCTGCACTAGGGGCTCCTGGGAAGGCCTCGTGACTCTGGATGCCTACCCTTGGAGTTGCTACGTGGGCCTCACTCACATCCAGAGGAATCACCTGGGTGTGTCTGAGCCTCCTCATGGGGAAGGTAATGGAACAGCAGCCCCTGGGACTTTTATGGTCTCTTCAGGGGTAGTGGTGCCCCCAGCATGACCCCTCTTTTGGACCTAGCCCCAGTCCGGACGCTGGGCTGGCACTGTATTGCTTTCAGGGTGCTGGAGGAGATCCTTGTTGGAACGAGTGCCCTCTTCCCTCCAGAAGTCTGACCTTAACAGCATGGGGAAGGCTATCCCTGGGCAAATAGGTTGTTGCAGGCCTCCTTTAGGCTATGCTTTGGGAAGGGGGGAGGGGTGTTGGACATTGGGTGACCTCTGCACCCATGTGACTTTCCCACGACCCAAGGCCAGGACCTTCAGGAGAAGCGGAGCAAGGGGTGCCATACCCTCAGGGCCCAAACCCAGCATTTGTCCCAGCTGTCCAGGGGTTGTGTTATATGGGAGGTAATACCCAGGTGTGGTTCCTTTTGCCACCCCAGAGTGACAGGTCATGAACTTTGCTGTCCGTCCAGCCAGCACCCTCAGATGGTACCAGCTGCAGACAGGACACACTGGGCATTGGGCTTTGGGCTGCTTTGCTGTAGGTGCTGGGGCATTTTTCTTGTATCTAGGAATCTGTACTGTCTCCCTGAGGGGCCCTGGGGCTGAATCGTACTGTGCTGGTTTGGTGGGGAGGTGGGGAGGGTCCTAGAGTGGAGAGGCAGAACCCTGGGCAGTGTCCAGGTCTGTCTGTCTCCTTCACCTCTGAGCCTTACGCTGCTCTGTTGTTTTAAGAAGACCAGCTTGAGAGCTTTTACCTCCCTTTTACCACCTGTGGTGGTAGCAGAGGGCACCGGAGGCAGCCTGAGGCCCTTGCATATAAGACCCACCAACCTTGGACTGCACCGTTTGTTTGTTTGTTTTGGTGAGAGAAAGAAGAGGGAAGGGATCAGGTGGCCCTTGAAGTGAGAGTCCCAGTTCTGAGGAAGCCCAGTGGGGAGGAGGCCCATTGTGTCCTCTGGGTCCCCAGGGGCCCCTTGCCTAGAGCTAGAGCCCTGTGTGGTTACCTGAAGCTCCTTCCTCATGCCCCTAAGGGGCAGGTCAGGCGTTTCCAGTGTCCTCTTCTCTTTCCCTGGCTGTGACCAAAGGGGAGGTGGCCCCAAGCAAGATCTGCTTTGGGAGTGGGCAGCGTCTGAGGAACCTCTTCTCTCTTTTCCAGCTTTTATGGGGCTTGGGGGTTGGAGGGCCCTCATACTGGAGGAGGGGTGTGGGAGAGGAAGGCCTGTGCCTGGGAAACCATTTCCTGCCACAGGGGTCCCTGGCCTTCCCCCCGGACCGGGACTGCACGAAGGCGGAGGCAGGCGTCAGCCGGAGGGCGGAGGCAGGGATCGCGGCACAGCGGGCCCAGGCCACCGGATCGCAGGCGCAGGCAGGCGCAGGCAGCGGGTGGCCCGGGCGGTGGGCTGCGGGGAGGACCGGCCCGGGCTGAGGCCCGAGGCCCCAGGCGCCCCGCCAGTCCCTGCACAGCTCGGTCCTGCTGGCGGGGCTCCAGAGAGGCTACTTCTTTTTGGGGAAGAAGCTGAATCTCTTCTCCTTGTCTTTCTTGCCAAGGCTGGCGTCGGGGCCGGTGATGGAGGGCAGGGGCAAGCTCTGGGCCTTCACGCGGATGCTCTGGGATTCGTTGATGGCGGTGCTCACGCCCTGCAGCCAGGACAGCATCTCCTCCTGCAACGCAGAAGGATCATGGGCCACAAAGGAGGGGGCTGCCCCTGGGACTTCTGAGGGAGCCACCTGCTGCTTTGTCAGCAAGAGTCTGGGCTAGGCTGCCCTGTACTTACCTCATCCTTGCCATGGAAGAGCCACTCGCTGCCATTGCTCAGCCTAGGACAAAAAAAGGTTTCCTGCCACGTGGCCACCTCTGCCTGGACAGAGGGCTGGCTCACCCCACAGACCCAAGCCTCCCCCTGACCACAACCCTCAGAGGCAGGTAAAAATCTGGACCATCAGCCTCTTTGATTTGAAAAATGCTAGGCCTGGAGCTGGTCTCCTACAGGGGCCCCTGTCCAGCCACTGATGCCAAACTAAGCCTGCAGGGAATGGGCACGGGCCAGGAGGGCCTCACCTCAGCTTGAAGACATGCTTCTTCTTCTTATAGTTGGCAGCAATCTCACAGATGGCGTGTCTCAGGGCCAGGGGTTCCTCCCCATGGTAGGGC